GACCTGCGTTTGAGCCCAACTGGGACACCTGCCAGCCAGCACGCTGGAGCGCTGGCCTACTGTCAGCAGTGGGGAGTCCCTCAGGGAGAGGCCGCCAGAAATGCAGCTGCTGGCCTCAGGGGCCAAGAGTCCATGGGAAATAGGAGGGGCCGCCCCCTCCGGCCACCAGACTCCTCCAGAAGGCAGGACCTTCTGCCTCTGCCTGGCAGCCCTGGCAGGCTGTGGGGATGGTGGGGTCTAGCGCCTCCCTGCAGCCAGAACCCTGTCAGCAGGAGGGACAGTGGCCTGGGACAGGGGTTGAGCACTGCAGGGCATCGGCCCTGGGTGGGAGCTGCACTGGGGAGGCGGCTAGGGTAGGTGCAGAGCTGCCCAAGGCTGAATGGGCTGTTGGGGAAGATCGGAGCGGGGGGCACCACAGGTTCCCAGGAGGAGGGTGGTCACCCTTGAGCACACTAGCAGAGGCCCTGTGGGCTCCTATAGTGGGAAAGCTAATGCAGGGGTGGCACTGGTGGGACCCTTTTAGCACTCCCTTGGCTTCCTCAGGACCCCTCAAGACCTCTGTACCTCCTCCTCAGCACCCCCAGGACCTCCTTCAGGATCCCTCAGGACCTCGTGGGTCCCCATGTGTCTCTAGGCCATCCTGTGGCAACTTCCCCTCCCCCCCCCGCCATGGCGCCTTGCTCAAGGCTGCACACGGCCCCTTGCCCATGCCAGGGCTCCAGCCCAAGGGTGTCAGAGGCCCCTCTGCTGGAGCAAGGTCCCAAAGGGCTTCCAGTAATGCCTAGGGGAGGTCAGCAGGGACAGGGAATCAGAGCTGCCCGGGGGCAGTGAATCTGCCATGGAAGGAAGCAGGGTGGGCATCTGAGCTCCCATGGTCAGTGACGGGTGGCCTAGAGCTGGGTCAGGGTGGAGACCGGGCGGGCTTGGCCTCAGAGATCCCCCTGGACTTTCCAAGCTGAGCACCTTTCTTCTGCCTCTTGTTGAGTCCTGTTGAAATGCTCACCTTGAACTAATCTGAGAGGAAAACACAAGCGTGTGCTTGTGGCAAGGTAGTGCTGAAGAGGGTCTGTAAGCCCAGGCTAACGGCCGTGAGGGCGCCCCCTGGGGGTCTCTCACCCTCCCTGTCCACCTGTGCTCAGCCACATTGCTGCTAACTTCACACCTGTGTGTATGGACAAGTAAGCTGGCAGTGTCCCAGAAGCCTAGAGCACTGCTGCTGCCCTCTGGGATCCTGTTCCCACCCAAGCCACTTCTTGCACCCAGTCCCTCTTGATGCCATGCTCTTGGGGTTTGGTGGTGCCTGGGGTGCTACTCTGTGCATGCAGGTCATGTGGATCATCCCAGGTCACACAGGAAGTCCCTGGGGCACAGACAGGGCAGGATGCAGCCAACAAGGCCCAGCCTAGGGCAAGTCCAGGACAAAACTGCTGGTCTTGCAGTGGCCAGTGGCCAGCTCCATGTGTCAGCTGGCCGCCTGTCAGCCTGGTCACTGAGGGTGTTATGTTTGTGTCTGGGTGTCCCCCCAAAAGCCTCATGTGGTCATGGGGCAGGCTTTTAGAGTTTGATTGATTATGGGTGTGAGAGCTGCACCCGCCCTGGGGTGGATAGTTTGCATATGTAAGGGAGAGCAAGAGGCTGCTTACGGCCATTCATGGCTTTTGTGCTTGTTGCTTTGCTGTGTTCTGCCACCATGAGCCGTAGCCCTCTGCCATGTGCCACTCTGCCTTGTAACCTGCCAAGTATGGACTAAAACCTCCATAAACTGTAAGCGAAATAAACCTTTCCTTCCTTAATTTTGGGCATCAGGTATTTTGTCCCAGCAACGAGAGAAAAGTAACCGAGACAGAGGGGCTTTTTCTTCCCCAGACCTTCCCCAGCCATGCATTCTTTTCTCTATTTCCATGCACTTTTCACCATGGAAAACTTCAAATACACACAGATGTAGGCAGTCCAAGAGAAAAGGAACCCATCCTGGCCACTCCGCCCCACAGGCTTCATCTAAAGCCCTCTCCAAGCCCCAGAGTCTGCAGGTCTTCCAGCTGGACCCACCCCATCAGTCACTTTGGCAGGGTGTGTGAATGTGTCACATTTCTGGCTGGCCAGGGGTTGGCAAGGGCCCGGCTGCTATACTTGTATGCCCAGGAACCTGCTGCTCCTCAGCCCTACCATGTGCTGCCCTGCAGAAACCGTTCCCAGTCAGGGTCCCCCCAGAGGGTGGAAGTGGTACCTGCATCCCTGCAGTCCCCACACTGCAGTGGTCCCTGCTAAACCACACTTCTTCCAGGCGGTATAGCTTCTCTCTGGCAGTGTGGGTCGAATACTCCTTAGCCCTATGCCCTGCAGAGGGGATGGGGTTAAGACTAAGGCAGAGATGAGGGGCAGCACCAACTGGGAGCGGGGCTCAGGCTGGAAAATGCCTCGGCAGGAGCCCCCTCAGAGTCCGGGGATTGAGATGACAGGTGACGGCAGAGCCAGGGTGCAACCTTGACGTCCCTCTCGGGAGGGACAAAGTCAGGTCTGAGTGCCCAGGGCTCCAGCCAGCAGAGAACCCTCCTGCTGGGACTGCCTGGAAGAGGGTCCTGGGGGACTGAGGCCAGGGTGCAGGGGGAGACACTGGAGCTGAATGCGCAAGCGGAACAGGAGGGCTTGCCTCTGGTGCTGCCTCACTTCCTGTGGGGACTGCAGGGATGCAGCATGGCTTGAGGTCACGGCTGTGACGGAAGGGCCTGAGAGGCCAGGGCTGCAGAGCAGGACTCACCCTGCCCCTGCCCCCACCCACATGGGGCCCTGTCCCCACACCGTCAGCAGAGTGACATCAGAGGAGGGGCAGGCTGGCGGGGAAGGGGAGTTCCTAGGAGGATGTCACTTCCAGGCCTGGCTCTGAGAAGAGGAGAACTGAAAGTGTCCCAGGACAGAGACCCAGTCACAGCCTCAGTGCACCCACTTTTCCTGCATGGTAGCGTGGGAACAGCTGAGGCCCTGCTGTCTCACCCTCCCCTGAGGCAGAGTCTTGAGGTGGACAAGTGAGACCCCAGCACTTACAGGAACCCAGAACAGTTGTCGAGATAAAGCAACACTTAGTATGCTATCTAACAAAACCCACGCAAAAATCCATGCTAATCAAAGTGCCAGCATTTTAGACAAAGGCGGGGTCAGTCTCATTGGCTCATGTGGCCTCCGGTACCAGAGGGGGCCACAGTACCCTATGGCCTTGGGAGTGCTCACCCCTCCACCCGGCACCCCTGAGTCCTTCATTCTCTTTCCAGGTCCTGCGATCTGAGTTCCCAACACCCAGGATTGTTCTTGAGCAAGGCAGGCAGCCAGGGCTGGGCAGCAAGGGAGGGCAGGATCCCACAGCCTGGGGGTTTCCTGGGCCACCTGGACCGCCTCCATGGGTGACTCAGTTTCCCCAGAGGGCTGTCTATGTGGTGCAGCAGCGATGATGTCTAACAGCCCAGCACCCTGGGCCCAGCAAGTCCAGAGGCTCCGAGAGGGGAGGGGAAGGGGCAGGGAGGGAGGGCTCCTGCAGATCCACAAGGGGCACACACAGCCCGGTAGGGCATCTAGGTGGAGGGCCTGGGCGTCCCACCCTCTATGGGGTGGCCTGGGTGGTGGCACTGGGCTGCCAGCCAAGGAGTGGGCAGCTGGAACCCGGGCACAGTCAGGGCTGTCAGGGTTCAGGGTGCCAGGGCACCTGTGGGGGGCCAGTGCTCTCTAGAACCTACTTGAGTGGCCTGAGAAACAGCAGCCAGTGCCTCCCCTGGCTCTGCCTGGGGCTATAGGCTCTGGCCCCCGTCTTGTGATGTAACAGCCCAAACATGGGCTAATTTGACCCAAAGTGGCACTCTTTTGTGACTGTCTTGTTTCCTCATTGCTGGGATAAGATACCCAGCTCCTGCCGCTGGGTTTATTTGGCTTGCTCTTCAGAGGTTTCAGGCCTTGCTTAGTGCGTGCGTGGCGGAAGGGCCTGGCAGAGGGGAGCTGCTGTCCCATCAAGAAGCAGATGGGGAGGACTGGAGGAGGGTGTGCGCAGCGGAGGAGGCACTCGGCAGGTCCTTCTCACCGGCTGCGGGGCTGCCTGGCCAGCCATGCCCTCCGCACTGGTGCAGCTTGGGGCCCTGACAGAGGCAGGGGGGCCGCTGTGCAGTGCAGTCTGGGAATGACAGTGGTCGGGCAAGGGATGGGCTCCGGCACAGCAGCACCAGATTCTGAGGCTGAGAAGGTGGGTGGGTGAAAACCCAGGCCCCAGAAAGCACCCGGGCAGCACCCCACACCTGCCCCCCACCAAGCATCGTAGCCCAGGGTGGGTTCCCCCATGACCTGCCCCACATGGGGCCTCGAGCGCTGCCTGGGGACCTGGGTCAGCCAGCGAGTGTCAGCTGGGGGAGGGGCGACAGGACAGGAAGGGTGGGAGCCAGGCCTGGGGCTCTTTGGGGCTCTGGTCAGGGAGCTGGGCCTGAGACCAGGGGCTGGAGAGGTGGTCAGACCTGGCACCAACTCTGCCACCCTGGGCCAGTGATTTCCTGATCCTCTGGGCCTCGGTTTCCAGCTCCGTGGAGTGGGGAGCGGGGTCTTCTGCCCTCCTGGCTCCTTGAAGTCTTTAAAGAGAGGAGTGCTGGGTCAGAGGTCGTGGGGCCAAGCTGGGGTCAGACCCTGCCTGCAGAGGTGGGCAAGAGAGCTCAAGGCCTGGGATAGCCCAAGTGACTGTCCCCCAGACCTGTGGGATTGGGGGTTCCCTGGCTGGTTCTGGGCAGCTTCTGAGGAGGTAGACCTGGGTTGCAGAGGCGGGAGGGGCTGGTCTGGATTTCCCCTCCAGCTGCCTGGACTGGGCTCTGTCGCTGTGTGAGCCCGGCCCAGCCCGGCCCAGCGCTGCCCCTGCCAGGAAGGGGTGTGGGGTGCCGGCTCCTGACCACAGGCGGGACAGGGGGCTCCCGGGCAAGGCCGCAGGCTCTGCACAGGGGGGCGGGAGGGGAAGCTGCGAGGGCGGGGCTGAGCGCCTGGCTCTGCCTCCTCTTGAATTGCTTTCAGAGCAAACACAGCTCTACCGAGATGCTGGAGCCTGACGGGTGGGGGGCGCCCCATTTCTGTCCTGGAGCCACCACCCCGGCCTCCCCTTCCCACTGGGCCCGCCCACCTCAAGGAGGGGCATAGCCTGAGGGCTGGCCAGGCCCACTGTGCCTCCATGCCTCACAAGGCAGCGCAGCTGAGGGATCTGACAGCTCAGCCTGGAGGCCACGGATGACAGCAGGTGGGTGCCAGGGTATGGCTGGGGCAGAGACTGGGGGCCTGGGGTCTCTCAGCCAGTGAGCCTGTGCTGGGGTCTTTCAGAAGGGGCTGGGGCTCTGCCAGGGCCCCTCAGAGCTGGCCAGGAATCCGGGGTCCCTCAGAGCAGGTTGGGGCTGTGCTGGGTACATAGATCCTCAGGGCAGAGACTTCTTGGAGGAGCCGGTAGAACATGTACGAGCTGGACAAGCAGCTGCCCTCTGAGAGGGCTGAGCTGCTCAGGAGCGGTCTCTCAGGGCCTTGGAGCCCACCCCATTCGGGCCTGAGATCTTTGTGGGTGGTGAGCTGTGCTAGAATAGAAAACAACCGAGCTCTGGCCCTGGAGACAAGCAGCAGGCCTTGCAAGCCGAGTATCACCTCGGGTCACCCATGTGTCTGCATGGGTGCTGGGGCGGGTCGCCCCGTCCGAGGCCCTATGCTACCCAGGTACCAGCACCCTGCGCCCACTCTGCCCCCACGGCTGGGCCTGTGGACAGGGTCCTCAGGCCAGACCCGGGCCAGGCAAGCCCTGAGGGCTGCAGGGGGCTCAGCCTACCCCAGTGGGCACACACTTTTCTCCTGTATGGGCAGCGCCCAGCCCAAGGGCAGTGTTCAGCTTCCCCTGTGTGCAGTGAGCCAGGTCTCGGCATCAGAGGGAGAAGCGCCCAGAGGTGCTCAACTCTTACCCACGCGGCCCCACCGGGCAGGAAGTCACAGGGACCAAAGTCACCGTTTCCCCAAGCTGGGTTCCTGGCAGCTTCTGCAAACCGAGCTGCGACTCCCTGAGCACTGGCTGTGTGGGAACGTCACCACCAAGTGCCTGCTAGCGGGGCAAGGGCCCACGACCCGGGGACCTGATTCCTGAGCTCTTGGGACCCACCCTGAAGGATGAAGCCAGAGCCTCAGACGGACCTTGAACCCTTCCACAGTTTGCGTTCTCCTCCTCCACAGTCCGCTGTTTGTTTTACTCTAAACAGAAAATCTGAGAGACTGTGGTCAGACTTCTTAATCTCCCCCGAGAGGTCCTGGGCCACGCCAGTGACGCAGGTCACGGCTTTGAGTGTGTGACACCGGGCCCCTCCTTTGTGCAGCCGTGAGGACGGCGGACGCCGGGGATTCACCCCTCCCCGGGGTGCTGCCACGTGTAGGCACCCCCTGCCAGAGCTGCCCCTCCCAGGCCAGGGGAGCCCTCAGACGACGGGGGCACAGGGTACCCCGCAAGGAGCCAGGGATTCTTCCACTTCACTTTGTTTTTGTGGTACTACGGCTGAACCCAGAGCCTCACCCATGCCAGGCGAGCTCTCTGCACGAGCCCCAGCCCCAGCTCCTGCAGGCTCTGGGCTGGATCTCAGGACGGGGGGGCCCCCCCGGGGCGAGAGTATGGGCAGGAGCAGAGGTGGAGAGGCGCACAGGCGGCGTGGCAGTTGGTACTGGGGCTCAGTGTCCCTCCGAGAGGCCTCAGAGCCAGGGTGGCAGAAGAGAGAAAGCAGAATCGTTCCAGAGGAAGGAGGCAGAGCCGTCAGCGGTGCCGGAGACCACACAGGACGCACGGGGCTTCAGTTGCTGGCAGACAAACGTGCCTTTATAACCCCACGGATGTGGAGTCTGAGGAGATGTGATGGAGTAGATGGCAAACGGCCCTCCAGCTGCTTCCCTGATGCACCACGGCCCTGGAGGGCCTGGGGCCCCAGCTCACACTCACATCTGCAACCCCAGGCTGGGTGCTCTTGCTGCTCCCGCACCCTCAGGGCAGAGGAAGAGCTGAGTCTGGTCTTCCCTGGGGAGCCACGTCCCCTCCCTCCCTTGTGAGCCTCAGAAGGGAGCCCAGAGGCCCTGATCTTTGAGGAACTGCTGACTCCCAGCTCACCTCCGGGCCCACCGTGCTGGGCGCTGGCCAGTATGCCAGATCCCAGGCAGCGCCGTGCAAGGGTCCCACTGACAGCTGGCGGGGAAGGTGTCGGGACTGGGGCATCCAGAGTCTGATCGTCTTCACCGCCGGCCCTGGCACCAGGCCACCAGGGCTGGGTCTGTGGGCCAAGGTTGGCCCTCCTGAGAACTGAGGGCCTGGTATGCATGGGAGGTGTGGCAGGCACTGCCAACGACATTGGGGTGGACCCCAGCTCTGGGCAGCAGGCTCAGGGCCTGGAGGGACAGGGACGCCCTCATGCTACGACCATTGGGAGCTCTATCCCAGAGCCCCAGGGTGGACACCCTGCTCCCAGATGTGAGGCTGGGATGGAATTGATTCAGGCGGGACGTCCAGAGGACAGGCCTGGTGGGGAGGTGCAGACAGGGAGAGAGGAGGGAGGCCAGGGCCCTGGAGCTTTCTGAACCCCTGCTGCTCTGAGCCCCCATGTAGGAGAAAGACCAGATGGAGCAGGGAGCAACTGGTCTCGGGGATAGGTGCCGGTGCAGTGGAGGTCCCCAGCCAGGTCTGGTGGGAGGCGGTGGGCAGCCTGGATGCTGCCCTGGGCCCAGCTGGGATCCTCAGGCCAGGGCGGCGCCACCCCGGGTCTCTGCCTCGAGCTGCAGGCTTCGAGGTCAACTGGCCTGCCCGGTCCCAGCACAGAGCTCTGGAGGGCGCAGGCAGACACAAGCCCCGCCAGCCTCCCTTCTGCCCACAGCAGGAGGTCCGGGAGAGTCAGGCTCAGGAGACAAAACAGATCTGCCCCAGCTCCACAACCAGGGACTCACTCGGCCTCTCTGGAAGCCTCGGTTTCCCCACCCATCCTCAGGGCAGGGTTAGGCCTTAAGGGTGACTTCGGTCTTTCAGGTCCACTGATTGCTCTGGGAACTTGGGGTCTGTGCACAGGGATGGGGGCCAGGGGTGGGCAACTTCAGGGCATGGGTGGGGCCACTGCCAGTGCCATCCTCCGCTGACTCTCGCTTCTCCCGCAGCCTGGGACCATGAACGATACTTGCCCGTCCCTCCCTGGGCTGTACGCGTTCAAGATCTTCATCATCACCTACTCGGTCGTGCTGCTGGTGCTGGGCCTGCTGCTCAACGGCCTGGCGCTCTGGGTGTTCTGCCGCCGCATGCCACAGTGGACAGAGACTCGCGTGTACATGACCAACCTGGCCGTGTCTGACTTCTTCCTGCTCTGCTCCCTGCCCTTCATGCTGCTCTCCCTGCAGGACACCAAGGACACGCTGCGGTGCCAACTCTCACAGGTCGTCTACATGGCCAACAGATACATGAGCATCAGCCTGGTCACAGCCATCGCGGTGGACCGCTACGTGGCCGTGCGGCACCCGCTGCGCGCCCGCAGGCTCCGCTCCCCGGGGCAGGCGGCGGCCGTGTGCTTGGCGCTCTGGGTCCTGGTGAGCAGCTCCCTGCTGCTCCGCCTGCACCTGGGGCAGCAGGAGGGCGGCTTCTGCTTCCGGAGCTACGCACGGCACCACTTCAGCTCTACCACCTTCTCACTGCTCGGCTTCTACTTGCCGCTGGCCGTGCTGGTCTTCTGCTCTCTGCAGGTGCTGACGGTGCTGGCCCAGAGGCCAGCCTCCGAGATGGGCCAGGCCGAGGCCACCCACAAGGCCGCCCGCATGATCTGGGCCAACCTGATCGTGTTCGTTGTCTGCTTCCTGCCGCTGCACATGGTCCTGACCGTGCAGGTCGCCGTGCGCCCGAGCTCCTGTGCGGCCCGCAGGATGTTCAGCCTTGCCCTCTCCATCACCAGCCAGCTGTCCAATGCCAACTGCTGCCTGGATGCCATCTGCTACTACTACATGGCCAAAGAGTTCAAGGATGCGTCTGCACGGCCCACGGCCCACAGAAGCCAGGACTCCCAGAGCCTGACCCTCTCCTAGGAGTGCACTGCCTGTACCCCCTGACCTGTGACCAGGAAAAGGGGCCAAGATCAGCCCACAACTCGCTGTAAGCCAGGACCCTCTCCAAAGGCCCAGGTGGGCAGGGGCTGCCCGGGTATGGAGCCTGGGGATGCTGCACCTGCTCCCCTGGGAAGGGATAGGGATGAGGGCCAAAGGACCCCAGCCAGGCACACAGCTGCTACTGCAGGAACTGACTTCCTGGGCTCTGCGGCGGAGCCCTGACAACCAGCCTCCTGCTATGGTCCCTGGGGCAGTGACGGAGACCACTACAAAGTGGCTCTGAACAGGGTTTAAAATGAATCAACTGGCTTTCAGTGTTTACTTCTGAGTCTGTCCTAGGCCTAAGGCCCTTGTCTAGAGATGGGCAGCGGACCCATAATGAGTGAACCTCTATAAGTCACTGGTCCCTGCTGAGGTCTGTTGTGGCCTGTGAGGCCATGACACCTCAAAGGACAAGAAAAGGCCACACAGCTGGAGATGCCTGGCTCCAACCCCAATGAACTAAAGAGAAACTGTAACTGCAGGTGTCTCACTCCTGCAGTGAATGTCAACTTGGAGATAAGACAGTCTCCTAATTAGCATAATTTACTACTTGGGGAAGTCCTTGAACTGACTCCCAAAGTCCTGCTCAATTCCCGTGCTTTGATTTCCTCAGTATCCCTCTCCTTTATTTGAAAACCAAATAAATATGGGGGACTCAAGAAGTTGTCTCAGCCTCCAGAGAATCTCACATTCTGCTAAAGGGTTTTGATCCTCCTGGTACCCTGACAGCATACCCCTGGTCTTACTTAAGCCATCACTGTGCACTCACTTGGGAGGTTGCAGGTGTTGTCAGTCTGTGATAGGGCGAGAACAAAGCTCTCACCCTAGTCGGTCCTGCACGGCCTGTGTGTCACCCACAGTCAAGTGGCAGGAAGCGGGGAGGGGACATCTCCCAGAGGACTCTCAGGGCCGTCCACCATGGGACACCTCAGGCCCTTTCACCTCTTCCCACCTGGGGAGCCAGAGGGGCTGCAGCCCCAGGAGGACCCGCTGTGGCCAGTTGGGGCTGGACGACAGTGTGCCCAGCGGTCACACTGTGCCGAGTGGTCTCCTTGTCTGCTCTGCCTCGGGCACAGGGCTGGGCAGCCATGCTCACGGGAATGAACAGAGCACCCCCAAGCCTGCCAGGGGTGCTGCTCCGGGTCTGTCCCCTCCACCGGCGTCCTCGGACCCCACCCCGCCTCCTTCCCTCCTGCAGGGTCAGACCCCATGGCAGCTCTGTCAGGGGGGCCGTGCTCTCAGGCACGTAGCTGGGTGCGCATGGGGTCCCACTCTAAGGAGAACCCTGCTTGCTTTATGTTTGCTTTGTCAAGACCCTGCACCTTTGGATGTGGAGGGAGGGCCACCTGTTCTCATCCTGCTCTTGTAGCCCTGGTGGTAGTCTGCGGGAGCTCGCTGGGGCAGCTGACGGTGGTCAACACTGTCCCCAGACTTCTGCCCCGGCTGGAGCCTCAACTCAGGGCAGCCTGAGGCTCCAGGGACAAGGGGCAGGCACAGAGCCAGCTGAGGCCAGGAGTCATGAAAGGACGGGGCCGGCAGCAGCCCTGGGCACCCCTTCTTCCACCCTCTCCCTCGGGCTCCAGGCCCTCAGCTAAGCCAGCGCTTTCAGGGGCTTTGGTGGCCCTGGAGAACCAAAGCCAGGAACACTGCAGCTGTGTGTGGAGTGGAACCCTTGCCTGGCACCCAGGGCCCAGGGTCCCCTCCCCACTCCACCACACACTTGTCCATCCTGAGTTTGTCACCTGACCCAGGCATCCCCAGTACCCGGCAGTGGACACGTTCTGGGCTGTGGTCTGTAGGAGCCAGGCCACACAGCGGGTGAGCCAGCGAGGCCTCCTGTGTTTTCAGCCACTCCCATCACTCCGCCCCACTGTCTTCCACAAAACCGGCCGCCGGGGCCAGCGAGGTTGGGGACCCATGGCTTAACTGCCCTCCCCCTGCTCTCTCCATCCCCGTGGCAGCCTTGCAGAGGCCTGAGGGTCACACACCAGCTCCCAGCCCAGCACAGCCTCCCCAGTGGGTGCACCCACCAGCGCCTCCACGGGTGCTGCCCAGCCTGGGACCAGGCCGGCGCCCGCCCCCACCTGGCGTCCTCTGCAGTGGCCCTGCCCTCTACCCCAACCTGTAGCAGTGACCTGACTGGGCTGCCATGAGTGTGTGTGTCCAGGAGACGCCTGTGTGAGAATGCAGGGCCAGCCAGCGTCCAGGCCTCGGAGGCCCTGCGCCATCCACTCCCCAGCCGCGGACCTCCCCACCCCACCAGCTTCCTGCAACCAGCTCTGCTTGGTCTCCACCCTGTGCTTCCCAGAGCCCACTCTGTGGCTGGGGCCAGGGCCCAGCTAAGCAGATAGTGTGCATCCTCTGATGTCCACCACCCTGACTGTCATTTCCTTCTTTATTTATTTGTTTGTTTTTTTGAGACAGGGTCTCACTCTGCAGTTCAGACTGGCCTTGAGCTCATGGTGATCCTCCTGCCTCAGGCTCCCAAGTGCTAGGATTACAGGTGTGTGCTGCTACACCTGGCCAAAATCTTCATCTCCAAGTGACAGGGAGTCCACGGGATGTTCCCACCCGAGGATACAATCCCCCTTAGGCAGACCAGCTGGGCTGGGGCTGAGTGCAGATCCTCGGTTCTGTGCTTGGCCAGATTTGGAGGTCCAGGGGGACAGGAGCAGCAAGGCTGGGATCCAGGCGGCAGGGAGGCGTGTTCCCCCAGTCATGGACTCTTGCCAGGACCCTGCAAACAGTAGCCTGAGGAGAGAGCAGGGTCTGCGGGGACTCCCCACTGGGCAGCCTGAGGAACAACGACAACCGGGCGCATTCCCCGGGGATGCAGGCCCTGGCTTCTCTGTTTCTGTCCATCCAAACGGGGTTTTTGTGACCCCGTGGTCACTGTTTCATGGCTTCGTCACTTCCCTTGTTGGTGAGATGAAATATCTGACGCCCACAGTGGAGAGGAGGAGGCTCATTTTGGTTCACATTTTAGAAGTCTGAGTGCTTGCATGGCTGGCAGCATGGTGGAGGGGCTGGCGGAGGAGAGGTGCTCCCGGCATGGTGGCCAGGAAATAGGGAGCAACAGCAGGAACCACAGAGGCGATGCAGCCTTCCCGCCCACGCCCTCGCTGTGCCTCTCTGACCAGACTCATCTCCTGAAAGCGAGGCAGCTGTCAGCCCCAGGGTCCAATTGCCTTCCAAACCCTGAGGCCCAGGGGGCCGCTTTACACCAACCCTTACCCAGAGCTCGGATTCAGTCTCAGGTGCTACACAGGCAGGGGACAGGGAGCCAGCAGTAAGGGTCTCACCGCCTCAGTGATGTTTCCCAAAAGGCGACCTGGCCCCGTGGTTCTAAGGTCTGCGGGCAGGCAGAGGCAGAGGACGTGACGGCCACCATCTGAGGCCAGGTGTGGACAGGAGTGTAACGAGCCACACAGGCTCTGCTGCCTCTCCTTGACCTTGAGGACGGAAGCAGTATGGACAGACGGGTGAGAGTTGTGGCAGTGCAGGGGAGGCCGTTGTTCTGGCGGCCTTCACCCTGGCACCTGCTGCTTCCTCTGAGCCACGAACATGTGAACTAGGGTGTCAGGTGTGGGGCAGCTCTTGGTGGGGTTAATGGAAGTGGGTGATGGCAATCTCTCCCCAAATCCTAATCTATTGCAGACCTTACACGAGACCCTGCTCCTGCCGGGAAGTCAGCCTGAGGGGCAGAACTGGCCACAGGCCACCAGGGTGACGACGGGCTCTGAGTGGCAGAGGCCAGGGTGGGGAGGCTTGGGCACTAGCCAGCTGGCGAGCGCAGGGCCGAGTTCCCTGCTGCTTCTCAGGGCTCAGGAAGCCAAGCTCCGCATCTCCTGGAGAAGAGAAGCCCGGCCATGTCCTGTCAGCTTTTGTCTGGTGAGGCCGATGGGTGAGGCACCATGGGGCTCATCCTCACAGATGCCAGGACCAATGAGGCCTCTGTGGGCTCTAGAGGGCCCAGGCTTGCTTCCTAGTCAAGGCAGGGCCTGGACTCCTCCCGGCCTAGCCTGTGGATGGAGGTTGGAAGAAACAATGGGGCCCTGCTTAGCTGACCGTGCTCCGGAAGGGGTTCTCATGGCCATGTGAACAGTACTGGCCCCCAAGTCATGCTCACCACCGTGTGGGAGAGCCACCTCTGAATTCCGGGTGGAAAAAACGAGTGATCCTCCCTCAGGGCCCCTGTCCTTGTAGGCTGGCCCAGGTCTTTGGAAGGAGGCCTATGCTCCCCGGGATGCTGTGAACTTTGGGCCCCGCTGGTGACAAGTTCTCAGTGTGCCCCAAGGGCAAGGACAGTGGAGTCGTGACTGAGCCCCAGTCTCTCCACAGCCCTGCCTGATAGCAGCATAGATAGGACAAACGGTGCCCAGGGCCGCAGTGGCAGGCTGGGTCTGAGGGCTCCTGTCTCCGGGCTGCTGCCCTGCACTGTCCTAAACTGTCTACCGTGGTCACCCACTGCGGCCAGGTACTGAGGCCGGTCTGAGTGAGGGGTACGCAGGCGAAGGGTGCCCACAACTGCTTGCCCCCAAGGTCCTTCTTGAAGCCACGGCTGGCCGCGAGCAGGGCTTGGAAGATGGCAAGTGGAGGGGAGTCCGGCTCCTGGAAGGCCTGGGTTGTGGTCATCATCTGTCCTGGGGCTGGACTAGCCAAAGAGGGCAGGAGGCAGGAGGAAGCGAGGGAAGCACTGGGGACAGAAGTGCGGACGCCTCGGAGCCACGCTGCTGGGGGTGGGGGGCAGGGCTCCTGGGTCCACAGGAGACGCTGTCTGTGCAGAACCACCGAAGTAGTCTACATGCATCACTTAGAAATCAAATGAGGCAAAAGCACTTGCTAATGAGATTCACATTTCCATGATGTGCGTTACCCAGCACTTCCTTGAAATTACGATTCTATCAGTCTCCATTTGAGATGTGTAATCACTCAGAGCAGAACAATAAAGTAGAAAAACATCAAGATCATTTCAGAAGACAGAACAAGGTTCTTGCTGTGTTTTGGGATTACTTTACTACACTAATTAGCAGTGACAAAATAGTGTACTTGTATTTCTTCCAAACAGGAGAACATCAAAACACTTAAATGTTTTTTTCTGAGACAGGGTCTCACTGCGTAGTTCAGGCTGGCCTTGAACTCACTATGGAGCCCAGGCTGGCTTCAAACTCATGGCACTCCTCCTGCCTCAGCATCCCGAGTGCTGGGAGTATAGGAATGGGCTACCACGCTCCAAAACACTTCTAAGAGTCTTATTTAAGCCACCTGCACTTACAGGATATTCTAAGAGTTATAGACAGACTGGATGACCACTTAATAGTAATAAAAGTAAATAAAAATATTATTTTAGTAAGAAATAAAATAGAATTACAGTAGTAACAGGAAGAGCATCTTGCTGTGGTTCTCGGACTCAGAAGCGGATTTCAGGGAGGCAGCTCCTGGGCTCAGGCTGTATAGGTAGTAGACGAAGGTCTCCGCTTCTCAGGGAGGAGGATCTGGGCAAAGATAGAGCCAGAGGGCTGAGCAGAGGCGCCCGGCATCTCAGCCTGCAGCAGGGAGAGAAGCAGGAGTGAGGGTACCCTATCCAAGCTGGGAGGCAGGTGAAGAGGGTAGAGGACTGGGCCCTCCCTACCCAGGACAGCGAAGGCCCTGCTCGGGGGTCCTGGGCCACCTCCAGAGGCCCCAGGTCACAAGAGCCAGGCCTGCAAGTCGTGTGGAAGGGAGGGAGGGCAGGTGTTACAGGGAGGGAGGACGCCTGGGCCCAGGAGGAAATGGGTGCTGCAGACACGGCCAGCATGTCGAGGACACAGGGTGCGGCTCTGGATGCTTCTGTCTTGGTTACTTTTCTCATTGCTGAGACAAGATTCCCAATACCCAAAGTTCAAGGAGGAAATACTGCCCTACCTCACAGTTTGTGGAGGTTTCAGTGTCAGCCGGCTGGCTCCAAGGCAGGGTGGCGGGGCAGAAGGGAGGCAGTTTGTGGGGGGCAGAAGGTGGCAGAGCAGCAGCAAGCGGCGAGTGGCAAGCAGCCCTCTTTCTTCGCTGTATTCCATCCAGGCTGCCTGCCCCTCTGAAAGGCCCACCTATGACCGCACGAGGCTTTGGGGAGCGTCTGGGTACCAGGCAGTTTCAAGAAGCTTGTTGACGGCTGAAAGCAAAAAGAATGAAGTGTCGGTTGGCCTGTAACACGGGCTGATGCCAGTGATAGGGAGGGCAGCAGAGGGTTTGATGGATGGCGACAGCACAGGGCTGTTGGATGCCCACACAGGGAGTGGCTGAAAGCCAAGAGCAGCTGGCAAGGACAGAGGACCCCTGAGCCTTGCAGACCTCCAGGGAGAAGCCGAGCTCACGCGCCATCCTCTCGGTGTCCGCATCGCTTGACACAGCTCACCGGTTTGGCTGTGCTCATTCACACCCACTGGCGGCGGCTCCCGGGCCACCACGGCAGAACTGAGAGGCTGGGCTGAGGCTGTGTGGTGGGTGGCAGCGTGGAAGGGGCTGGAGACCCGCTCTCAGGCACCCAAGGAAAGTGCCAGACAGCCCCCAAACGGCAGAGAAGAGCGTGCCAAAGGCAGCTCATCATTCACCTGAGGACGGGGCCGAGCCGGAAAGGAAGGCAAGCGGGACAAGAGAAGATGGATCTTGAGTAACACCAGCCCGGGCAGGCGGGCACCTTCCTGTCCGTGAGCAGAGAGGCTGGGGGAGCAACAGCCTAGTCCCAGGGCCCGGATGTCAGCCGGGGCCAAACCACACAAGCTCGCTCAGTCCAGAGCACACTGCCAAAGGGGACGGCAGAGGCTTCTGAGGGGGATTGAGCTGTCAGGGAGACACCGGGGCTTACAGGGGACTGGAGCCTCAGGAAGGGGTCTCAGCAACCTAGACGTCTCGGCAGCATTTCCTCCTGGAGCCTGGCTTTCTGCAGACCCTCTAGGAACTGTGCTGTCCAAAGGTGCACCCTGAAGCTGCACCCTGGCTTGGGGCTCACCAAGGCCCTCAGAGGCGGAGAACGTCGTCCGTGCTTTCACGCCCTGGGAAGGACGAGCGTTAGCTCACTGGGAGGGCAGATGGTCTCCATGTGCTTTCACATCTTGAGCGGCTTCTGCCAGCATCAGTGAGAGGCCTCATGACTCCCGAGCACAGAGCACATGCCGGGTGGACTGTGTCAGCAGAGAAATTCGCCTGCTGAGAATTTTAATCCTTCTGTCCCCACAAATGGGTGGATGGACGTCATGAAGCAGATCTCGGAACACCCAGGTGACTCAGAAGTCCCTGCCCTGGAGGACCTGGGTCTGGAGGGCAGCCAGGGCCCACAGCCGCGTGCAGCTGGCCGGGCCGGTAACAGGACATGGGGGATACCCACTGCCCGCTCCTCCTCCTGCCCCTGCTGCTCCTGGTTTAACAAATACACACACACCCCACAGCCACCGTTGTCCTCTCTGGCTCACCTGGAAGTAGGGCCTCTCTGGGGCTGCGGCCTCGCACACCCTGTGCACCTCCCAGCCTCGGCCTCCTTGTGCGTCCTGGAGCCCACGCAGGCCCCAGGACTGCTGATAACCCAGCCCTCCGAGGTCCCCTGCTGTGACCCTCCTTGATGGCTTCTTCCCTCTCCTCAGACAGCTCCTGCTGGGTGGCAGGGACCATCCCCAGGAGCCTGGGCCCCTGGTGCCTCCCGTGGTCTCCAGCCCTTCCATCCAGGAGGAAAACCCCAGGTGACCTCAAGGGTGAATTCTGTCAAATATTCAAAGAACAAGCACACCAGTCTTGTGGACACTCATTCAAAGAACAGAGGAAGGAAATCTCCCAGTGTCATTCTGTGTTGCTGGTCTCGCCTTCACCCCAAAATTACCAAAATCATCAGCAGCCAGGAGAGCTACAGCCCACTGCCCCTTGGAAGCACAGACCAAAGCCCCTACCAAGTGTTAGGAAAGGGACCTGCCACTCACTGAGTAGATTATGCGGTGTCATCTTGTCCCGAGAGGGCCAGGTCTGCTTGGCTAGGAAAACCACTGGCTGCAGTGCCTCCCTGGATGAACCCCGACAGCCACTCTCAGCAGACCTGAAGTGGAAGGGAATCTCCTCAGTATGATTCTGGCATTGGGGAAACCCCACGGCTAATGCCAAAAACCAGCTAATACCCTACCAGTAAGTAAGAGTGTCACCCAAGGGAGGACTAAGGCAAAGAACGCCTATCTGACCTTCTCTGCCCAGCTGGGCAACGGCCATCCAGGCAGTGCCCCAGGGCAAAACAAACCAAACCTCCAGAGACGCACGCTGTTTTCACAGACAGAAGAGTCAGTGTTAGTAAAACTCAAGTGTCCATAAATTGATCTATGGACTCAGTGCAGTCCCAACTATAACCTCACCAAGCTTTCAGGACGGAGTGGACGAGCAGGTTCCAAACTGCAATGATAATGCGAAGGTACCAGAGCAGCACACGGTCTGGACAGGGAAGAGAACGCCGAGGGCAGAACTGCAGCTCCGAGATAGGACTTGAGCAGGTGGCGACCAAGACGGCAGCTCTTGGTGATGAAGGGCTGAGCTGATCAGTGGAACAGAGAGCAGTGCCCGTAAGTAGACCTGTGCTTAGAGTCAGCTGGCTCTTAACCAAGCAGCCAAAGCATTTCAGTTGGGAAAGAAAGGGCTCTTCATCAGATGGTGCTGAAACAATTGGACGTCCGTGGAGAAAAAGAGATGTGACTCTCACTTCACACAGTAATCAAAAATCATTTCAATATGTGTCATACAGTTACCCTTGAACGCTAAAGCATAAAACTTCTAGGAGGAAATGGGGAACATTGCTATGACCTAGGAGTGGATAGATATTTTATGGGCAGGAGGCAGCAAGCAGTAGCCGTTAAACTAAAAAGTAGTCAGCTAGGCTTACCAAAATTAGAATACGCTCCTTATCAAAAGTTACCAGTCCGAAGCCAGGCATGGTGGCACACATCTGTAATCCCAGCACTAGGGAGGCTGAGGCAGGAGGATCGTTGTGAGTTTGAGACCAGCCTGTGCTACAAAGTGAGCTCAAGGCCAGCCTGAACTGCATATTGAGACCACCCTGTCTCAAAAACACACCCACATACCCAAAGACACTTGTCAGGAAATGACCATAAACTGGGAGAAAATATTTACAAAACAAATATCAGACCAAGGACATGTATCCAGAATATATACAGGATTAGTGTAACTCAGTAAAAAGCATACAACCAAATGAACAAAAAACAAGTGAAAAGTTTGTGAATCCATGAGCTGGTGGTGGTGTTTACGTCCCTGCCACCGGACTCCAGCTGCAAACCACACAAACAGAACCAAACGCTCAGCACCACAGGCAGAGGCTCCAAACTCAGCAGCACCAAATGTAAAGAAACCACGTGTCTCCTGCATTGCTGGGGGATGCAATATACTGTGACCACTTTGGAAAACAACCAGGTAGTACTCAGGGCATTTCAGGCATGTACCCCAAAAATGTAAACACACATCTACAGAAGTTCTACACAAAGACGTTTATAGCAGCTTTCTTCATTTTAACTAAGAACCAAAACCAAATATTTATTATCAGAAAGTCGGGTAAGCAGAGGCTTATCCATAAATGGAATTCCATCCGGCAGCAAACAGGAAGAAGATGCGGAGACACAGAGCTGTGTGAACTGTGCTCCTCACAGACAGGCCCCTGCCTGCCCACAGCCGGGCCGGAGCGGCCGCACTGACTGCGAGAAGAAGCTTGGGACACCTGTCGGAAAGGCAGTGTCCCTGCGTTAGGGGTGGAAAGTGTCCATGGGGGACATGAGGAGCTTCGTGGGCTGATGGAAATGTTTCTTGGTGCTGGTGGAGTGTCAGGGGTTCACACATCTGAGGACGGTGTGGAGATTCGCACTCACAAGGTGTGTGTTACCCTGAGCAGGTGCTGACCTTTGAGTCTGGATGTGGCTTCTCGGCCACCCAGGGATCCAGTGCGCCGGGGAGCCAGACCTCTCCCCTGCAAAGGCCTCACTCAGGTGAGACTTCCTGGGAGGCCCCCCACCTTCCTGGGGGGCCACAGGCAATCACACATCTGGGCCCCCAAATTGTGCTGGAGCTGAAAGCAGCTTGAGTCCCCTCTTCAGGTGCTGGCCTCTGGGCCTCCGGCAGGTCCCATCCCTCCCCGGTCTTGGGCAGAGGACGGACCTGAGTTTAGAAAAATAAGAACCAGCCTCCCCCAAAGGCGGCTCAGCCGTGGGAGGTGAACAGCCCTGGCAACCTCTGAGGGAGAGGAAACCAGGCTGTGGCTCCCACCCCACCCGACCCTCCCAGCCTCTCGTTAAATGTGCCTGGACTTGCAGGCCGCGTGGTGCGCCAGGGGTGCCCTGTGGAGCCAGGCTGGCTCGGCCCAGCACCGTCCCGAGGGTGAGGCCAGCTGGTCTCCGAGGATGTGCGGATCCTGCTGGCAGTGCCCCCTTAGTGTCCAGTGCCACAGCTGGGAAGCGGGTGGACCCGCCTTCTCCTGAGGGGCGTGGGATGAGGTGGGGCAGCTGTCGGCTGAGAGGGCCCTCTGCCGGTCTGGGGAGGGTGGAGGAGCCCCTACCCCTGTTCCTGCCCAATGGCATCTGCACAGAGCTAGCCCTGTGGAGAGCCCAGCCTCCCGCTTCCCCAGAGACCTGCCGAGGACCAGGCCCCGCCAGGACCTCCCCGTCCACACCACATCCTGTGTCCCGCCCTGAGAGCTGTCTGCGGCCATGGCCTCCTTTCTTACCCCTCCTGAAAGCACCTGCCTGGGTCGGTGTTGTTCCGGAACCCACTCAGGATGGGCAGGAGGAGCACAGCCCTCCCCTGCTGCCCCTCACCCTCTGCAAGGGTCCCCGGTGTGGGTGAGCACTCCTGCCGCCCTCAGTGTCTCCGCAGCCACCCCACCCCTCAGGACTCCTCATCTGTCCCCTCGCGCGTCACGGTGGTGCCTGATGAGCGCTGCCTTCTTTGACCATGAGCTCCAGGCTCCCAGCCCTCCCTCCCGGCCGGTGTCCAGCACAGAGCCCCTCCGTGTCCCCAGCCCCAGTCCCAGCCTTGGGGCCGCGGCACAGCAACGCGCCCTGTCGGTGTCTCAGTGTGGGGGGAGCGGTGGGGGCTCCGCAGGGCATTGTCCCCTTGCAGGCAGCAGCAGGAGACACTGAGGGGGATGAGGCGGGCCCAGTTCTGCAGGCCGGCCCTGCTGGGGCCGCGTGGACTCCCGGGGTGTGGAGATCGGGTGGCTCTATGGGTGGGTGACCCGTGGGTGGATGGAGCTGCAGGCCCTGGCCAGGGGCAGGGAACAGGTGTTATGGTCCTGGCGCCCGCAGGCAGCTGTGAGTCACGGAGCTGGGACGGAGGCTTTGAAGGGCGTGAGAGAGAGGCAAGGGCCCAAGTGCCCCACGCCCAGGAGGACGCAGGCGGGTGGGTCCCTTGTGGACCTGTCAGGGGCTGGCTGGCACGAGGGCCCAGGTGTGGCGTTCCCAGAGCCAGCTGGGTTCTCCTGCGCTCTGCCACCCACAGCTCGGGACAGCAGCCTCCGGCCTCACCGCGGACCTGCAGCCGCTCCGGAGAGCCCTGGCCCATGGCTGGCCTGAACGTGTCCCTCTCCTTCTTCTTCGCCACCTGCGCCCTCTGTGAGACGGCCAGGAGGGCGGCCAAGGCCCTGCTCCCCACGGGTGCCTATGCCAGCTTCGCCCGGGAAGTGGCTGGCGCGGCCCAGCTGGCCGCCTGCTGCCTGGAGCTGCGCGCGCTGGCAGAGTTCGGGCCCTGGGCCGGGGGCGTGGGGCCCGACCTCCTGCTGACCCTGCTCTTCCTGCTGTTCCTGGTGCATGAGACCACTTTTGACGGCGCTTCCGCCAACCCCGCCGTGGCTCTACAGGAGTTCCTCCTGGCGGAGGCGACGCTGCCCAGCACCCTGCTGAAGCTGGTGGCCCAGGCACTGGGCGTACAGGTGGCCGGGGCCCTGACCAGGCGCTGCTGGTCCTGGGAGCTCAGCGACCTGCACCTGCTGCAGAGCCTCCTGGCCGCGCACTGCAGCTCTGCGCTGCGCACATCCGTGGCCCACGGTGTGCTGGTGGAGGGCGCCTGTGCCTTCTTCTTCCACCTGACCCTGCTCCGCCTGCGGTACAGCCCCCCAGTCTACAGGGCCCCGGCTGTGGCTCTGCTGGTCACTGTCGCAGCCTACACAGGTGAGGCCGCTGCCCCTCGGCTGGGTCCGTCAGGACCATGACCCCTGGGTGACACAGGAGAGGGTGTGCTGGCTGGGGGCCCCTGCATGCGGGGCGGCCAGTCGCTGGGCCCTAGGGAGGCCCTAGCCCTGGCCAGCTGTCCGTCCCCAGCTCCCAGGGCTTTCTTTACACGGAAGATCTGCACCTGGGGGAGAGGGCGGCCAGGCAGGTTCCCCGGGGCCTGGCCCCACCTCTGGTCGCGGACCTGGTCTGGTCCCCCAGCCCCTCCAAGGGGGACAGATGCCACAGCAGGGAGCCACCAGGCACCTCCCGTGGTCCTTAGAGCTGCAGGGCGCAGCTGGCCAGGTTCCTTCTCCACCTGGCTCCGTGTCCACACAGCTGCCCGCTCTCCCAGGCCCAGACCCTCCCTGTCCTGCCAGCCGCATGCCCTGCCCCTTGGCAGTGGCCCCTGGCTGTTCCCAAGACCCTGGTGGCACTGGCGTCCCTCCCTTGCTGCCTGAGGCTGAGCCCCTCCGTGCTGGCTCCCTGCCGCCTTCTCTCCTCTCCTCTCACTGCGTTCATCCCCTTCCTTCCCACTCCCTCTCCTCCCTCCCTCCCCTCCCTCCCTCCCCATCTCCACCAAGCCCCTCAAGGGCCACCTCCCACACACAGTGTTGGGGGAGGGGTGCTCCTGCCATAGCCTCGTGGCATCTCAGAGGGTGGCAGGCCAGCCGTAGGGACCATGTGCTTCTGTCCGCAGCTGGACCCTACACGTCCGCCTTCTTCAACCCTGCGCTGGCAGCCTCCGTCACCTTCCAGTGTTTGGGGCACAGCTTCCTGGAGTACGCCCAGGTGTACTGGCTGGGGCCCCTGACAGGTCAGTGGCAGGGACCCTGGGGACAATGTGTAGGGTGGCGTGGGTGGTGGCTCTGGGCCAGGAACAGGTAAGCACACGGGCCCTCCTGGCCTGCAGGCCACCCTGCCTCGAATGCTGGTGGGGACACAGACCCGGATGCTGGTGGCCGAGCTTGTCTGGCTCTGGGGGCCTGTAGAGGAGGCAAGGGCCCAGTTGTGCTCCTGGGCCCCTCAGCAGTATGGATGGTAGGGGAGGCAGCTTCGATGGCCTGCCCTGGTCTGGATGCCATCACAGAGGGAGGAGGTCAGGGAAGCAGGCTTTCCAGGGGAGCCGTGCGGACAGGTGGTTTGGCACCTCTGGGGCTCCCACTCCCAGGGCTTGTCCTCTCAAGCAGGGCTCCCTGTTGCTGCTGGTGCTGGTGGCCAAGGACCCCTGGGGTGAGAAGACTACCGTCCAACCAGGGCTGTGGGCTACGGGGTCCCCCCGGACTGCCTGGAGCATGGAGGATGCCCCTCTGCTCACCCCGAGAGCGACAGGGTGTGGCAGCGAAGTTCCCGGGCTGGGTGACAGCATCAGGGACTCTGTCCCCCAGGTTCGGAGGCCTGGTTGTGCCCTCCCTCGGCTGTCCCGCTCCCCACACCTTACAGAGGGGTGAGGGCCATGGGAATTCTAGGAGCTGTTCCTGTCTGCAAGCCGCAGTGCCCCGAAGGTCTCCCCACAGACCCATGTGGGTGGTGGGAAGGGTGTCTGCGCACCTGTACCCTGTGCCCTCCACTTCAAGGCCTCCGTGGTGTCCCCGCGGCTCCGCCCCCTGGGCTCCATCTCTCCCCCGTGTCCCCTCCCCCGCCTGCACTCTGTGACTCCTGTTTCCACATCTTGCCCTTTGTGCCTCCTTGTTGGTGCCCAGGTGTCCTGAGAAGTGTGGCTGGTGGTGACGGCCCCTCCCGTGCGGACAGCCTCCCTTCCTGGGCGAAGGGCCCTGGTTCCCAGCGATGTGTGGTGTCGGCTTGGCCTAGCGTCCAGCTCTGTCTGGAGTTTGTTTCCCACTGAGTTAAGGCCTGGCTCTGGGGCTTCTGTGCCCCTTCCCTAGGCCCCCACGGGAGGTGCCACATGCCCAGTGCCTCACACGGCTGAGAGAACTGCTGCTTCTGAGGAGGTGGAGAGGGCGCTCCTGGCCACGCCTGCTCTTGTGGTCATAGGTGTCCTTTGCAGTCCTTTGGTTCCAACCTCTGCTGCGGTCCTCACTGGTGCTGCTGGCTCTGGGGTCCGCTCTGCTGCAGTGTGACTCGATCTATGCAGACCCTATTTCCAGGGAGGGTGTTTTCAGAGGTTCTGGGAAGACCGTGGTTTGGGGGACACACTTCTCCCCGGTACAGCCTCTAACTACATGCTGCTGTGGCCTTGCCTGTGGAGGCCCCCAGGAGCCCAGCACCTCATGCACACACCAGGGCACGGCCTGGAAGACACCCCTTGGGGAATGTCCCTGTCCTCCAGCTTGCCTCCTGCTGCCTGGGGAGTGGGCTCTCTGATTCCTTCTCTGTGCATCTCTGTGCTCCTCAGCTCCTGAAGTGTATTGCACTGGATGGGGTGACACTTGGGGTGGGGTCCCTCTTCTACCATCCTAAGGCAGTTTCAGGCACCATCAAGTGTCCCCACCCGTATCCCGAGGTTCATGTAGAATCCACCCTGAATGCTGGTGGCTCAGAGCTGCCGCCCTGGCTGCGTTGGGGGTGTGGCGGGCTCTGCACCTGCCCTGCCCTCCTCCTCGAGCCGGGCAGCACCCTCTGCCTCGTGGGGAGAGGCAGCGGGGAGGGGCCAGGACACAGCCACAGGGATGCGCTCCGCAGGTGGTGACAGAGGTCGGTCCTGACCCCATCAGGCCGCCCAGGCTCCCCACAGTTCAGTTCTGAAGGGCAAATCTGTTCTCTTCTTTTGCCCTGGTGCTGACCTTCCAAGCAGCTGGAAACCAGGTGGGAAATTGGGGTTCTGTTTCCAGATTCTGGGCAGGGTGTAAGGATAAGGAGCCACCAGGCCTGCCCAACCCAAAGTCCCCGCTCAACCCTGCCTGGATCACCTCCCCTCTTCTCCTGCCCTCCACCCCCACCCCTCACCCTAGGATGGGGCATCACCTCCACAGGCTATCCTGCGGAAAGGCTGCACAGATCTGCACACGTGGGAGTTCTGGACCCCAGTGGGCGCTTGCTGGGCTCTGTCCCGCTCCCAAGGCCGGGGAGTGGGTGGCGGGGACAGCTGGACACCGGCTCCAGCAGGGGGTGACCCTCTTGCAGAGGGATCCAGTGTACGATCCAGCCTGTCTCAGGGACGGTCCTGGTTCCACCTGCCCTGCCATCCGGCCTTGTCTCTTGCAGGGATGGTCCTGGCTGTCCTGCTCCATCAGGGCCATCTTCCCCGCCTTTTCCAGAGAAACCTATTCTACAGGCAGAAGAGCAAGTACCGGAGCCCCAGAGGGAAGCTGGCTGTGGCCCCTGTGGATACCCACACGGCCGCATAGGGGTGCGGTGAGCAGGAACCAGCAGTGCCCAGTGAGCCACCCCTCAAGGGCCGGCTGCTTATGCGCCCTGGATCCTCTCACAGCTCAGGGGGAGCCCAGCTCTCTCCCTGGAACACGCATGTCAATAAACCACTGCGGCTCCCTGGGCCTGGCGAGGTTTCTGGAAGGGCGTGCTGGGGAGCTGCCTCTGTCTCCCAGGCCATTTTCCGCCCTGTGATGACAGAATGACAGCAACAGGTAGGGTCCAGGAGGGTGGCGAGAAGCCCAAGGAGCTGGCCTGAGCCCAGGGGCTTCCACTAACCCTGCTGGCCGTCTGGGTACCCACCACCCAGGGAGGCCTGGAACCCCCAGAGGGGCTGACAATGGGGAGAAGCCTGCAGCAGGGGTGTGACTCTCCGCTTGGCCCCAGGGCCCTGATGCTGACGTCTCCCTCACCCGATCTTCAGGGTTTGGCCTGTGCACCCCGCAGAGCCAGGCGAACCCTTGTTCATTGCTGGAGCCCCAGGGGCAGCGCAGACGCCTGTTCTAGCCACTTCCTCCCCAGACAGAGCGAGTCCGGGAGCCTCCCCCAGGAGGACAGAGTTTTCCCAGCCAAGGTTCCCAGAGCAGAAACAGAGGCCCGGGGAACAGGAGACATCTTGGGGGTTTTCCCTGTGGCTCTGGGGGTTTACCCCCATCCTCCCTGCCGGCGGCCCTCCTAGCTGTCCCTCTACCCGCCCAGCCTGGGGAGGGGTGACAAGGAGCAAGGTTCCCGAAGGACCCCTGGGACAGGATCCAGAGGGCTCTGGCTGGTGCCAGGCACAGGGAGCACCCAGGGCGGGGAGCGGTGGGTCTGGGGCTGGGGAACCACAGCTGCTTGTAGCAGAGGAGGCAGCTGAGGAGGGAGGCAGGCACCAGAACCCAGGGTGCGAGCTGACGTGAGTGGGGTCCCCACGGGAAGCCCTGCAGCCTCAAGACAGCCGGACGGGAGCAAGGTGCCAGGCAGCACATCTGACCTTGGTGGCTGAGGGATGTGGTTACCGCCACAGCCGGCACCAGGAAGCCGTGGAGATCACTGGAAGAGTTAAGAACCGCTGTGTTATCTCTGAAAACTGATGTTACATCACAAAACAAAAATTAAGTTGAAAGATCACTGCAGTAGCTGGAAAATCCCCACAATTTCCACAGGAGACTTAGGGTGAACCAATTACTAATGTGAAAAATAATGTTTCTATGAGAGAGGGTCTTGCTGTGTGGTTCAGGCTGGTCTTGAACTCACTCTGTAGCCCAGTCTGACCTCACACTCCCAGTGATGGGTCTACCTCAGCCTTTTGAGTACTGGGGCCTGGCAGGAAAATAATTTTAAAATTAGTTTTTCCTTATACTTGAAGATATGGTGGTAGAATCTACAAACAGTGTAAGTTATAGGAAAGCATGGGTTCATTTCCACTTTCTCATAATATGATCTTCACAGATTGCAAATGTCAGAGAAAATGTTAAATACCACCACATAAACTGTCAGTTAAAATTACATTCCAACTTACACAAAACCGATCTGTGTGGAAGGTTACTTGCTTTCAGAAAAGCTGCTCTGTAAGATACTGGGTCCCTGCTGTCCTGATGCTGAGGCAGTCACGCGGCCCATGTCCTCCTGACCAGGCCAGCGGGGCGGCCACAGCCTGTCACCTCTGAGGAGAGACTTCCCACAGTCAAAGCTGCCAAAACGATCTGCAACCTCACATCTGCCAAGAGTGACTGATGCTCCGTTCAGTCGGATTAACAGAAAGGAAGCCGCTGACAATGTCAGTGTTCATGGCAGAATGAATGAATTTGCAGAAAAGAGGCCTAGAGAAAGCTGGGCGTGGGAATGCACGCCTGTAGCCCCAGTACTCTAGGAGGCTGAGGCAGGAGGATCTCAAGTAGAAGCCTAACCTGGGCTAGATCCTGTCTTAAAATACTAAAAAAGAAAGGGCTGGGGATGCAGCTCAGTGCAAAGGACCTGAGTCCAATGTCCAGTGAAACACATGCACGTGCATGACGCATACACACATTCATCAGGATGTCTCATTACTAAAGCACCATTGGGCAGCTGGGCATGGTGGTGCACGCCTGTAATCCCAGTACTGGGTAGGCTGAGGCAGAAGGATCGTTGTGAGTTTGAGGCCAGCCTGGGCTACAAAGTGAGCTCAAGACCAGCCTGAAGTGCATAGTGAGGCCCTGTCTCAAAAAGACAAAAAAATAAAAAATAAAAAAGTAAAGCACCATCTTCCACCTTCCCTAACCCCACACCAAGCACTTTCTTTGCAGCAGGAGTCCTTGTTGCCGCACCTGGTCAGCAGGAAGGTATTTGGAGTGGAGCTTCCTCTTGTAAAGATGGTGTCTCGCTTAGCAAGGGGCCAGAACACCACACAGGCCCTAACCATGCAGGCACCAGGCCTTCCCAGAACTGCCACGGGCAGGGGTGCCTGGTGAACCACAGATCGTGTGGCTAGGTCACAGTGCAGCAGGGGGGTTGGGCTAACTCATACAAGAAGGGCACCAGGCCTCGGGATATACACCCACCTAGCTCTCTGGCCGTGGACACTCGTCTTGTACCAGCAGAAGGTCCTGGGGAACCAGAAGTGGAGCCAGGCTCGTGTCCCTGGGCCCTGGTGCTGGCACTCCAACACTGGGGCCTCGGGCAGGGGCCAGCCTGGCAGGTGGTCTGCTCTCTGGCTTGGGGTCCAGTTGTTACTGGGTCCTTGGCTGTCCTGAACACAGAATTGAGCTGGACACCCAAGAGTTTCAGAGGATCGATGATTTATTTGAAAATGAAAATCCTACCATAGGGAGAAGAACGCATAGTCCAAGGGCCTGGTGCTGAGGGTTCTAAAGTTTAGGTTTTGAAGGCTCAGTTTGAGCTCTGGCTCCTGTCAATGAGCAGCTTGGCTTGGTCCTTCCTTCAGGAGCTGGGGTTCTTGACCTTTTATGGCCCTGGGGGAGCTGTCACAAAGCCCAGAGCCCACAGGGTCAACTCTACGGAGTCAGTGACTTGGTAACGAGGGCTGGGGGCGTCACAGGCTGTAGAGACCACGGGCGCATGTGCAGGACTCACCGCGCATAAGCCAAGCTCCCTGCTACCCCTTCTATGGTGCTGAGACCTGGGCCTCCAGACCCTGGGCTGATGCTTAACTCAGAGGAGGGTCAGCCCAGAACGGGCTCCCAGGCCGCCCTCCCTTGTCTCCCCGCCCATTTCTTGGCTCACTCCTGCCCCATGGGCACTGCCCTGGCGGGTGGTTCTCCCCGCTGTGTTGGGCTGGATGGCTCTGCAGAGCAGACAGACAGGACACTGTCACTCCTGCATGGGCAGATGACACTGTAGGGCCCTCTGGGCTATAGGCTAAAGCTTTCACAGCCTGCAGGACACTCGGGACCGATGGCCCTGGGACCCCCAGCCTGTGTCCAGCTGAGGCACCTGGCCCCTTCTGCCCCTGGACAGTCTCTTGTCCTCTGCCTCCCTCAGACTTGGTTCCAAATCCTGCCCTAGGCCACTTCTGGCTCAGCCCCATTCTGAACCCTTGCGGTCAGGAGTCTACACCCCAGGCCAGGGCTGGAGAGGGCCCTGTCACCCACTGAGCAAGGCCCAGAACACAGCCAGGCCTCAGACAGCCCCGGAGCCCTGGACCGAGACTCGCCGGCCCTGCTGTCTCCCCCAGCCTTGCTCCACCTGCCCGGTGGTCTAAGTTGGCCCTGCCCATCGTGCATCGGCCGAGCCGCAGCATGGTGTCCTGAGGGGGCACCTCATCAGGATGCAGCAAGCCCGGCCCCTGCCGGGGGCACCCACATGCTGGCCCCCAGCAGACCCGAGGCTACCACAGTTCTACCGGAACCCCGAGTGCACCCCAGGGGACGCTGGGCCCCAGCCCCACCCAGCACCAGGCTAGAGAAGGCCGACACCCTCCCTGGTGTCCTAGAGGCGGTCACTTGTCCCCTCAGGCCATAAAGCCGCTCACCCAGCCACCATCAGCACAATAGTGGCCCTGAACTCCTACCCTGGCCTCCAGCAGGAGCAGGGCCCTCATGCAGTAACACAGGGAACTCGGAGAACGGCCCAGCGACAGGTGGGGCGTCGGGCTCAGTTCCCACAGGTATAGGCGGCCTGTGGCTCCAGGACCAACACCTCCTGCCCTGGAGTTGTCCGGCACCGGCCCCTCCCCGTGACCATTTCAGGCCCCACCCAACAGCCCAGCCCCCAAGAAGCCACAGCCAAGGCCCACGTGTGGGCTGCGTACGAGCCACGTTTATTTCTCCATGGACAGCATTGAGTGCACACAGGGGACAGGAGCCTACAGCTAACACTCGGTGTAAGACATCGGGGACTGAACCGTTACACGGGTGGTGTTACAACGCGGGCCGCGCGTGCCCACCGCAATCACGTTATGTACAAGCCAGGGGGGCCCTCTGACACAGGGGCCTTCGGGATGGATGAGCTACGGGAGGCTCAGGCCCAGGGGCAAGCCGGTCAGCCACAGCCTGTCTGTCTGGGGAGCTGCATGGCCCCCGGGGCAAGGCGCCTGGCTTCTGGGGTCCCCACTTGGCATGTGACTGGCGGGGAGGGCCGTCACCACAGCCGTCCGGTGTGCGGGGTGTGCGCAGCCGGTGCCCCCAGCACTGGCATCTCCTGGAGAACCCTGTCCACCCCAAGCCCGGGCAGCACCAGGCATCGGAACAACAGGGCCTAGAGAAGGGCCTCCTAGAGCTTTCTCAGCTTCACTCAGTGGGAAACAGTGCCCACAGCCAGACTACACGCCCTTCTCTGTGCTCCGATGCCAGCCTTCTCACAGGTGTGGAACCCAGGCGCTGGGAGTGCAGGAGCTGCTTCGCTGTCCTAACGCACAGGGAATCTCCTCGGCAGGGTGGGGTGGTTGGACCTCTCTCACCATCACCTCTGGGTTCCCAGCTCTGACTGGGACCTCCCCACAGAGCAGGGACCACTGGAAGCCCCCTCTGTTTAGGCTAAAAGGACCGTCCTCAGCTCCATGGCTTGGGGCTCCCTCCCTCCCGGCCGCAGTGCTCTGCAGGCTGGCTGGCCGCAGGCACTACATGCTGGCTGGGCCCAGACCCCTGTGCCATGGCTTCAGGCTGGCTGGCCTGCGCAGGTGCAGTGGGCCTGACCCCTCTTCCGCCGGGACTCGCCCTGGGGAGCCCCATCTCTTCTCCCTGCCTGAGGGGGTCCTAGTGCCAGCGTGGGAACTCATGCAGTGCCTGTTGCTCTGTGTCAGCCCAGCGCCTCCGAGGTTCACAGTGGGCAGCACCCACCTGGCGCTCAGTCAAGGTACTTTTGGTCTGGGGGGGCATCCTCACCTGGGGTCTCTAAAAGAGCAGCATGTCATGGCTGCAGGGGTGTGGTTTCCTGGGATGGGTGCTAGGGCTGGGGAGGGAGGCCCAGGTATGGAAGCTGAGCTCCCCTCTCCCCTGAGCCCAGGCTGCCTGGGCAAAGGTTAAGGAGCCTTGGCACTGCCCACAGGAAATCTGGATCCAGAACCCTCCTAGTGAGTGTGGTGTCCCCGCCCCGCCCCCCAGGAGATGCTGTGCACGCTTCCATCAGCAGGGCACAGACTCGTGAGTGTCTGCATGTCGTGTCTGGGCCTCCTGGGGACAGCCTGGCTCCCGGCTCACCCCAGCCCCGTGCGTGCAGCCTGCTTGGTTCCTGTTTCCAAATGACCCCAGTTGCAGATGAAAGAGCCCCATGATGATGATAGCCAGCATGGGGCACCCTGGTCTGCCTGACAGACACCTCTGCAGGGCAGCAGACTCTCTCCCCGGGGCAGAGGAGAAAGCGTCTGTGAGAAACCCGACTCCTGCCCAGAGCCACTCTGCAGCACTCTCCTCACTTAGCCAGAGAGGCCGGGACCTCAGCCCAAATGCCACTGTGCCTATAGCCCTCACCCAGCCCGGGCACCGGCCCACTGGCCTGGACACCCGCATGGGACCGTGGACAGACACCCGCACGGGGACCCTGGACACCCGCACGGGGACCCTAACCTTCTCCCCTAGCCCTGCCCGGGACCATCCCTGGGCCTAGTCTCACCAGCTCATCCTCCAGCTGCTGGCACCACCCTCTGTGTCCACCTTTGGAGCTGCTGGCCAGCTCAGGCACCCACAGATCCCAAGCGCCACCAGCCCTGCCCTCTGAGAAGCCTGGTCCGGGCAGGGGCGTCCCCTCATTCCTCCCCTGGCAGGCCGGTGAGCACGTGGGACAAGGGTGGGAACATCTGACTCTCACGGGGCTACGAGGCATTAGAAATAAATACTTATAAATAGTACACAGTCTTATAGTTAATTTCTCAGTGGACTGTTTGAACATCACTACCTAACAGATATTAATTATAAGTCTGTCTATGCTTAAAAAAATAGGAGAGCAGCAGCGACTCCCGGTCTGTGCCCTCTGGCCTTTCCGCACGTCCCAACTCTCCGGCTCCAGCGGTCTTGGAAGGAGAAAGGGCAGCATGTGCAGCTTCCTCCCCAATCCACTGCCTGTGTGCGCAGGCCCCGGCCAGAGGGGTCGCTGGGCCCAGCAGGGCGCCCCCTGGTGGGGAAGGGCTGGGTGGCGGATGACAGGACAGATGGGGATGAGGATGGGAGGGCCGGCTGCGGGCTTCGGGAGGGCTTGGCTCAGACCCGCATCTGCGCGGACCTCCTCCTGGACAGCTTGGACCTGCAAGGGGTCAGACAGAAGTGTGTTCAGGGCCCTGCCCGGCAAGGGGCCACAGCAGCCCCTCCAGCAACAGGGAGAGGCCGCATCCTGGCAGTCAGTGTGACTTGCACAGCGCCTGGGTCCCCTGAGCCAGTGGTGTGCACACGTCTTCCCTGTGTGGACCCCAGCACCACGGTGCACAGCCAGGCCTCTCCCGCAGGACCTGTCACTGTGAACAAGGGCACAGGAATGGCAGCAAGATCCTCAGCACCCCCGTCTCCCCCACAGTGCTCAGGAGCCAGGGCACTGCACTCCCCACCCCCGCAGCAGGGCTGTGCGGTTCCGGGAAGGCATGGCCCCGTACCTTATGGTCCCCGCCAGCAGCGGGTTGAACGCATACAGCCAGTCGTGCATGTCCTTGTCGCTGCTGGCCTGCAGCAGGATGCCACGGTGCTCCGTGCACACTGCGAACGTGTTGGGCGTCTGCAGAAGGGGCACCAGTGACAGGCTCAGAGCTGCGTGGGGGCAGGGGGACCCCCGCGGGCGCACACCCACCCTGCCACCGGGCCTGCAGGACACGCGTGGCTGTGCACCCCAGGACTTGCTGTCCCTTCCCAGGACGCTGGCTGAGCTGCCCACTCGCCTGGCCTCTTCCGGAGCCCCTGTCTTCTGTGTGGGAGCCTGAGCTCACCGGGGCCACTGCACCCTTAGGCAGCCTCCAGGAGACACACACACCCATGCTCTCTCACACACACACACACACACACACACACACATGCTCTCTCACACACACACACCCATGCCCTCTCATCCACACACACCCATGCTCTCACACACACACCCGTGCTCTCTCACACACACCCATGCTCTCACACACACACCCATGCTCTCACACACACACACCCATGCTCTCACACACACATATGCTCACACACACACACCCATG